CAAACACAAAGAAAGAATCCTGAAAGCAGCTCGGGAAAATTGAAAGTTCCTAAAAAGGGGAATCAGTGACACTAAGATTTTTCTCAGCAGAACCATACAGGCAAGAAGGCAATAGGATTTATATATATATGTGTGTGTGTGTGTGTGTGTGTGTGTGTGTGTATGTATATGTATATATGTGTGTATATATGTTTGTATATGATGGATGCAACACTCTATTCCTCTTAAATTTGTCCTTCCAGACATAATAAACCATATTCTGGTTCAAAATGGCCAGCATCGGTGTCTTTCAGCGGATAATGCCCAAGATACCCATCTTTGTACGTGCCATGTCATTTCTGAGGGCTTCCAATTTTCCTAGATTCACACAGCGTACATTGAGTGTTCTGATTATTAATAGAAAGTCACAGCTATTTCTTCTTCTTTGAGTCATGCCACCCCATCTGCAGGTAAAGGCCTAGAAAGCTTCATCTGTCCTCCTTCTACATCACTAAGGCAGACTCCACTTAGAGGAGGCAGCTCCTCCCCAGGTTGTATTTTAGGTGCCTTCCCCGTGAGGGGCTCCTCTTCCAGCACTAGATCAGACAATGTTCTGCTGCTATAAATAAAGTCTCTAGGGTCACTCTTCCATAAGTGGACTGTCTCTTCCTTCTTAGTCCTTGCTGAGCCTGGAAGCTTTTCCTGAAACCTGCTCGTCATGGTGACACGGCTTGTATTGGAAACACGAGTGGCATAGAGTCCCAGCCACGTGCTGTGAAGCTGTCAAGGCGCAATGAACTGACGGATGAGTGGGGGGTTACTCTCTTTCGCTCCTGCTATCACACGAGCCCATGTCCAGCCTACCCGCTGGAAGATGAGACACATGCGGAGCAGAGCTGAGTCATGACAACTGAGGCTATCGTTTGATGCTTGAGCAAGCGGAACCACGATCTGCAGCCCCATTAGAGCAGTACCTTGATCCAAGCCCCTGAGATTTAATATGGTTTATAACACAGCAAAAGCTACTCAGTACAGCATTCCCTATGGGGGAAGAAAACAAAACAAAGGCAAAAAAACAACAAGACATGACGCTTGCTAGACTCCATACATGTATTTTATAGTTTGGTATAATTTTCAGTTCCAGCTGGGTCAAGTTGACTATGATCTGTTGAACACTTTTATCCACTAAACAACTTTGTCCAGCTTCACGCCTGTCTTCTGGATTTAGCATCTGAATAAAATGTTGGGCAAAAATCTGCTGCTAACAGAACGTCTACGGCATAAAGATCACTAGGGTTGGCTTGCTCCTCCTCCAGGTGTCTGAGGTTCAGGAGGAGGGAAAGAATGGCAGAGAAGCATCTCTGCAGTGGGTATGGTCAGGACTTTCAGCAACCAGCCTCCTAAACATGTTTCTTCTGCTGCCTAGGTGAACTTGCATGGGCACATCTACAGAAAATCAGAAGGTACCCTCCCACCGAAAGCCAGCATTACCCAAAGTGGACCCCCAGGATCCAGAGAAACCAGCCCTGATCCAGGTGGAAACTCCTCACAGGTGTGTCTCCCTACCAATAAAACCCGCAAAAGGCAAACTGCTACCCCCTTTCTGCCTCCCACCTGGAGTGTTCATTTCACTCACACAATGGTCACATCATAAATACCCCACCAGATGTCTCTATTAATAAATTATAACTCCCCAAAGGAGTGGGATGATGGAAGTGCTGTCGGGGCACGCAGGCTTTGGAGCATTAAATAGCAGCAGTGTGCAGAAAATGAATCCTTTTCCTTGCCTTTCTTCTTCTCCACCCTCCCCGCTTCCCCCAGGATGCCAGCACAGGCAGTGTCAGCAGGCAGGCTCTTTACAGCCCACTGAATGAGATTTTAATGAATCCTGAAGGAAAGGCACAGCAGGGGAGGGTTGGCCTTGGCACCAAACAGCTGGTGGAAAGACCCTTTGGAGTGGCATCCCAACCAAAGTAAAGGGGTATGGAAAGGATGCTGAGGTTCCTACCACACACCCCTCAATGCTGCCAGCCTTACCAGCCAGACTACATTCCATTCAGTTCTGGTATATTCTCTCAGTCTCTCTCACACTTAGACGTCACACTTGCCGTTCCCCCTCTTGGAACTCTCTGGTCTCCCCTCCATATGGCTCCTCCTGGTCTCGACGGCCAGGTCACTTCTCCCAGGAAGCCTTCCCTAGGGATCACAAATTCTAGGCTCGATGCCTGTCTGTGCTCCCACAGCCGAAGAGGAAGTGATCAGAGCTCCTAATTTCCTGGAGTAAGCTCTTCCTTGTTAATAGACCCCACTCAACACAACTTCTTCCGGCCTCGCTCCCCTTCATGCTTCAGTGATCGCTGTATTCCTGGTACTTGGTTTGCTCGGTGCCAAGCACACGCCAGGCACACACGAAGTACTGGTCAATCAGAGAATCAAGAAGACAAGCATGGGGGGAGGGAGGGAGGCAAGATGGACCTGTCATCTACTCTGCCCTTCAGCATTCAGAGTCGCTACGAGCCAGGGACCCTCTGGAGTCACAGACTGCTCTCTTGCCATACTCCTGTTTCTAAGTGGGCAACATCTCAGTGTGTGTTCCCCACCCTGTCATGTCTGATAATAAATTCACGATATTCATCCCAGCAGGGTCTTTACCAGCCAACAACTTGTCCAGTGGCCAAGTGCTTTGTTAGCAGTCAGTGTGTTCAAAGCACCCATTTGACAGGTGGGAAACTGAGGCACAGGCACCCCCACCCCCAGGCATCTAGTTACATCTCTATCAGTGGATTCTGGGCTTGCAGATGTCATCACATGCCCCCCCCCGCCCCCCCAAAAAAGCAGAACAAATGATAGGAGTGCTGCATGGAGAAGCACAGTGGTCAGGCAAGATTGTCTTGCGTACCTGCCCCTGACTTTGAGGGAACTCGACAGTTTACAGACCTGTGCATCTCACCTGATTCCACCACCACTCAGTGGGGGAGGAAGGGCCTGCAGGGGTCATCAGGGACAGTTTACAAAGGAGAGAGGCAGGGCTCAGAGAAATGAAGCCTGGATCGTGAGTGTGAAGGCAGGACTGCCCCCTGACCCCAGGGCCTGGCCCGTGCCCCCTCGCCCTGCCAACCCTCTCTACGGTTCTGTGACACGCTTCCCGTCATGGGGATGGGGATGGTGGCTTCTCACGGCATTGGCGTGTACAGTGTGCAGGCCACAGGAAGACCAGTCTGCTGGGCGGTCAACTGCTCATCTGGTGGGCTGAGCATCTAATCTGGCATGCACATTTAGGCAATGACGCCCCTTAAAAACTCTGGCGTTGTGAGCAGAGATGGGCCTCTGAGTTTGAGGCACTTGGTGGGGCCATCAGGTTGACCTCTGGGGAGGTGACCGATGCTGCGTGTACATCTGAGAACAGCCCAGACGTTCTCATCTGTGCCTCGTCATCTTGATGGACGATGGCCGTCGCTCAGATCTTTATCTAAGAGAAGCGTGCCTCAGCAAGATGCTGCATTACCAAGATGACAGAGCCGCCCGGAAAATGGTGGAAGCCCCACACAGGTGACTAACTGGAGCTGAATTTGGGGCTTTCATCAGGAACACCATGAGTGCTTTTATCAGATGTTTTGTTTTGTTTTTAAGCCCATAATTCTCTCTCTCTCTCTCTTCTCTCTCTCTCCTCTCTCTCTCTCTCTCTCTCTCTCTCTCTCTTCAAGATGGACATGCACTTTTTAGTAACCGGGACATTTAGATTTGCCAATTTGCTAACTCCTTTCTTAACCAACTCTTTTTTGGGACAAGCCCTTCAATCAGAAGAGCGCTAAGATGTAGCTCGCAGAAAAAGAAAAAAGGTGTCGAATACTCACTGTTCTTTCTCCCTGAGGGAAGGCAAAGAGGAGAGAGAGGACACACAAGGAACAGAGTTAGGAAAGAAATCTCAGGACAACACCAGCGCTGTTTGGATGCGGTAGCCACACGGTTCCAATGACCATGACCTCCTTCCATTGCCCCGCCCGCCCCTCTATTCCTTAGTCTCTCATTTCAGCCCATCTAAAATGAAGCTGCTTTGCCAGAGGACGATCGGATTCCCAGCTGTGGTTACACTGACCCTTCAATGTATTGAGTTGATCGTTTAGGGACTTGAACCATACTGCGATCACTTCCGGGATGGCAAGGCCACCATCACTCTTGGTTTACAGAACCAAGTGGTCAATCATTGGGGAGAGGACCCCATGGAGGCGGGAGCCAGGAGGCTTGAACAGTAACTGAATTATACCAAAGAAAGACTGCTGCTTCCCACCGTGGGGCACTAAGTCTTTACAGTGTACCAAAGAGACCAGCGTCTCCGTTTACAAGGCGAGCAATCACGGGCAACCCGTGATCTTTCCTGGTCCACCCATCTCTAGCGCTTCGGGATTTGAAAGTTATCTAGAAATACCAAGGCTTGAGACCAGCACCTCCCCCCCCCCACCCCATGAGTGTCCAGTGTATCGGGGGCCATTCCCCTAACTAGTAAGCAAGAAGCAGGTGGAGTCATCTTTTCCTGTCCCCTTGCTGGTTCCAGACACAGTCATTAGGTCCAAGGCAGTGGAGGGAGGCAGACACATGAAAATCACAAGTGCAGTTCCATGGTTCTGGCTGGCCAGCAGTGAATTAAGAGTAGATTTCTTAATTTACTAGAGAAAGACATTAGACATGTCTGCGTAACAACTCGACACTGACGCATCCTCGGTAGTGTGTGTGATGACTGTAATTCACCCATCACAATTTATCAGGGAATCATTTTAATACCAGAAGAAAATGCAGTAGAGACCGAGCCCAGCCTGATGCAGTCAGAATACCAAGATGCTACATGGGCATCCAGGAGCTGTAATGAGCTGGGCGGCCAGACTGTTTGAATAATTCTAATTTCATCCCGAGGCAAATTGTTTGGGTTCCTATCTGCTAAAGTAAACTCTGATGGATGGGATTTTAATTAACTGACCTTTCTTACGTACAATAACTATTCCCTCACCCCCACCCCCATCCACCCTGCAGGCAACTGTTTATCTTCCAGAGACACTCTCGTTCGGCTGGGAGAATATTCTCTGCAGAACGTGCTGGGCTTGAGAAGGGCATCACGGGGAAGGTCTGGGAATGAGGAGCTGGCTTCTGAAAGGGAAGCCAACAAACTTCGACGGTGTCTTCAAAGCTGTCAAATTCAGGAGGGTGAACCATTTACTATTCACAAAGGAGTCAATGGTCAAATTCAGGAGGGTGAAACATTTACTATTCACGAAGGAGCCAATGAAGATGTGAGATGATGGAAGTGCTGTCGGGGCACGCAGGCTTTGGAGCATTAAATAGCAGCAGTGTGCAGAAAATGAATCCTTTTCCTTGCCTTTCTTCTTCTCCACCCTCCCCGCTTCCCCCAGGATGCCAGCACAGGCAGTGTCAGCAGGCAGGCTCTTTACAGCCCACTGAATGAGATTTTAATGAATCCTGAAGGAAAGGCACAGCAGGGGAGGGTTGGCCTTGGCACCAAACAGCTGGTGGAAAGACCCTTTGGAGTGGCATCCCAACCAAAGTAAAGGGGTATGGAAAGGATGCTGAGGTTCCTACCACACACCCCTCAATGCTGCCAGCCTTACCAGCCAGACTACATTCCATTCAGTTCTGGTATATTCTCTCAGTCTCTCTCACACTTAGACGTCACACTTGCCGTTCCCCCTCTTGGAACTCTCTGGTCTCCCCTCCATATGGCTCCTCCTGGTCTCGACGGCCAGGTCACTTCTCCCAGGAAGCCTTCCCTAGGGATCACAAATTCTAGGCTCGATGCCTGTCTGTGCTCCCACAGCCGAAGAGGAAGTGATCAGAGCTCCTAATTTCCTGGAGTAAGCTCTTCCTTGTTAATAGACCCCACTCAACACAACTTCTTCCGGCCTCGCTCCCCTTCATGCTTCAGTGATCGCTGTATTCCTGGTACTTGGTTTGCTCGGTGCCAAGCGCACGCCAGGCACACACGAAGTACTGGTCAATCAGAGAATCAAGAAGACAAGCATGGGGGGAGGGAGGGAGGCAAGATGGACCTGTCATCTACTCTGCCCTTCAGCATTCAGAGTCGCTACGAGCCAGGGACCCTCTGGAGTCACAGACTGCTCTCTTGCCATACTCCTGTTTCTAAGTGGGCAACATCTCAGTGTGTGTTCCCCACCCTGTCATGTCTGATAATAAATTCACGATATTCATCCCAGCAGGGTCTTTACCAGCCAACAACTTGTCCAGTGGCCAAGTGCTTTGTTAGCAGTCAGTGTGTTCAAAGCACCCATTTGACAGGTGGGAAACTGAGGCACAGGCACCCCCACCCCCAGGCATCTAGTTACATCTCTATCAGTGGATTCTGGGCTTGCAGATGTCATCACATGCCCCCCCCCGCCCCCCCAAAAAAGCAGAACAAATGATAGGAGTGCTGCATGGAGAAGCACAGTGGTCAGGCAAGATTGTCTTGCGTACCTGCCCCTGACTTTGAGGGAACTCGACAGTTTACAGACCTGTGCATCTCACCTGATTCCACCACCACTCAGTGGGGGAGGAAGGGCCTGCAGGGGTCATCAGGGACAGTTTACAAAGGAGAGAGGCAGGGCTCAGAGAAATGAAGCCTGGATC